GTGGAGCAGAACTGGTCCACGCGGATCAAGCCCTTACCTTGGTCTTGTTAATACCACAGTCCCCCTCAGAGTTTCTCAGCCAGCACCAAAAAGTACCAAGACTTTTCCAAAACATAGCCTGTATCTATGCAGGCTGGACTATCTTTGAGTCTGCAGCTCAATGGATAGCCACTTGGGCTATTTCTGCTCCCTCTCTATGCCTTAGTTTCTTCATCTGAAAAAGAGAAATAACAGTACTGATCTTGTCTACCTCATATTACTTAAATTACTTAAATTTCTTAATCCGCAAAACATGGATAATACCTGTCCTGCCTATTCCATAAAGCAGTCATAAGGCAAAAAAGATAATATATGTAAAAGCTCTTTGTATGCTCTAAAGCATCAAGGCTGAAGAAAAAGAAGTGTAAACTGACCCAAAGAGAAATAATTTAAGAATCATTGGACTACCCAATGCAGCTTCCTGGTCACCTAAAGGCATAAAAAGTGCTAGTCACAGGCAACCAGGTCCCCTTCAATTTAACGGATTTCTGAAGATCACACATCACCATGTCCTCCCCTTTTTTCTGCCCTAATGACCTTTGCTAGCACCTAATTTTATACCAACATAGAGTTCCAGAAATAGAGCCACCTACGACAAGGGGAAAACAGGACTATTAAATGAAATACAAGATTTCCAAATATTCCTGAAGAAAAGAAAAGGTACATAGAAACTGAAATACAAATACAGAAGGCAAGAGAAACATAAGGAACTAAACAAGGATGAACTTGTACAACAACAACGTTGTAAAGATAAACAATTTGGAGCCTCAGGATGCAGATGGGTCCCATTAAATCAATCAAGCATTCCTTAATAACGCAGAGGGGTAGTTACTAGCCCCACATCGGTACTAGCCTGCTTTCCTTGATGTAACCAATAGTGTTGTCCCCAGCCCCATGATGCTGCCTACCCTGTAACCAATCGCATTGTCTTCCCCACCTACCCAGCTCTGTTCTTTGTTCTCTTGTATTTCCCAAAACTATATGAAGGCTAGTCAGCCCTGCTTTGTTTGTGGTCTTTGGTCACTGAGAGAGACCATTGGCCCAATTTATTGATTACTGCTAACCTAACTAGTAAATTGACCATGCTTAACTTGTCTCTGTTTGCTGTAATTTTCTTTTCCTTTTTTGGAGGCAATTGGGGTCAAATGATTTGCCCAGGGTCACACAGCTAATAAGTGTCGAGGCTGGATTTGAACTCAGGCAGGTCCTCCTGACTCCAGGGCTGATACTCCATCCACTGCACCACCCAGCTGCCCCAGTTTGCCTTAATTTTCAAATGCAACAACAATATAACCTAACTTGCCTTTTTTTCTGTTGGTACTCCATCTCCACTTCTGGGCTTTCGCACTGGCTATCCCCCATGCTTGGTATGTTCTCCCTTCTCATCTCTACTCTAGATTTCAGAGTTTCTTCAAGACTCAGCTCAAGTGCCACCATCTACATGAACTCAGCTCCAAAGCATCCACTGTGTCACCTGGTTAGTTGGATCATTGAATGATTTGGTCATGTAAGACCCCCTACTCTAGGAACTAATTATCAAAATATTGTAACATATTCCCGACCTCTAGGCATTTTGCATATACCCAAGGAAGCTCATCAGAATATTCTAAACCACAAAATATGCAGCCTGTCCCAATAACAAGCTGCATCCAAATTGCTTGGCATAGGGATAAGTAATACCAACCAATAAGACCCCGAAAAGCCCTCAGTGACCTTCCTGAACAGGAAGCTGCACATCAACCAATAGCAGACTCAGCCATGAATTCCTCCAATGCTTCAAGTATCCTCCCATAATTTTATATTTTTTTCTTAAATAAATATTAGCATTAGACTGCCATCTATGCCTCATTATTTCACCAACCCCAGCTCCCCTTTTCCCACCCCAACCCTCCAGCACATTTACTTAGGCATCTTCTCCAAAAAAGGCTATGTGCTTTGGTGACTGGGTTTCACTACATCTAAATGACCTCTCGGTTCTCTCCCATTCTGAAAGTGCAGCTAGATTGACCGTGGACGTGGGCTATATAGGGAAGTACCTACACTTCCCCAAAGGCAGGGCCTTTTTTTCACAAGGATTTCTTTGGCACTCAGTCCTGAAGTCAGGAAATTTGCATTCAAATTCTCGCTCTTCTACTTGCAAGTTGTGTGATCTTGAGCAAATTACTTCCTCTCTCTAGGCTTCAACTTCCTCATTGTAACATGAAGGTGATAAGGTTTCTAAAGTCCCTTTCAATTATACCATTTTCTGACTCTTCTGTGTTTAACAGTACTAAGAAGAGAGGCTGAAGGCGACTGGAGAGGTAGGGGTAAGCTCAGGAATGCCAAAGTACCAATTTGGCATAATGTTGCAGTGATCCCCTCTCCTCCCTACCCTCCCCACGCAGGCCCCATTTTGGAATTCACAGATAAGCTGCTACTGATATCAGACTCTGGGGGGATCCAGCTTTTCTGCTCTGAGTAGAGACAAAACACTTGAACTGAATCGATCACTTGTTCGGAAGGAATAAATCAGCCTGGAATTCTTCCCTGTTCACTCCTCCATTCCCCTCATCATTTCTATCCAGTGTGCACAACGGTGAAATCCCTTATTACATTATTGCGATTTATAGTTTCCCACTGTTTACATCTTCTTCATATTATTTTGCTAACAGGATAAATTGTATGTACATTTCCCACAATTTAAATATTCTCTATAATTTACACTGCATTTCGCACCACATTCATTTCTCAGAAATGCCATTGTGTATACACTCATAAAAACAACTAGCTGTGACTAGGTATAAAGGGGCTAGGAGTCCTTGCCTTTGAGGCAGGGTCACTAGGTATGGCTTCTGGCTTTGCTCCTTCTTGCTCCATATTTCTGGTGCCTCCTTGAGACTTCTCCAGCCTAACAGAAATTTACGTGGCCTGACACTAGTCCCCAGGTTGGGAAGGGCAATGGATGAAGAGTTAAAAGGAGTGCAAATATTTTCCCTAGTCTCAAAAAAATTCAAGGGGGTAGGGTGGGGGGAGACTGTTGACCATGCACCCAGAAGCATGGAAATGAAATTCAGTTACCTTAACCTGGCTAGGAGAGACTTTGGTTCATAAAGATGAATTAGCAGTCTTCAGAGAAGTCTTCACAGCTGCCTGAGGGCCCCTTTGTGTGTTAACAGGGAAGGGCTGGAAGCCTGACTTTAAAAAGAAAAGTAAGAAAAGCATGCAGGCTACAGTGCTACGGAGGCAGTGGCAGTAACAGCAGCAGAGAACAATAGAGCCTCCAAACCTCACAACAGAAAGAGATCAGGCAACATCAAGCCGCAAGACCAAAAGAACACCAAGTGACCTTGGAGGACCTGTTAACAGAAGCTGAACAATGGAGTCAAAGGGGTAGAGACATTAGTGCAACCAAGAGTGCTGAAATCAGGGACCAGAGGGCAAAGAGAAATGAGGCATATAACCATTTTGATGAGGACAAACCAACCTCGATCTTGCCCTTCATTGGTACTATCATATGGACCATTCAGGGCCAAAGGAGAGTGGTGTCAATTCCCTAGTAACCAGAAATTATTTTTCTGCTTAGGAGAGCTTCATGTTGTAAGTCTGGAGCAGCAGTAAGAGGGTATGGATGAGACTCATTAGAGGAGCAGGCTGCTTGACTTCCTGCCCACCCCAAATTCTTTTCCCAAATGGAGATGACAGTTGAAACAACTATATAGTTTCCTAAGAAATGTGGGGCCCACCAATGGGGAAAGTTTTCCTAACTATCTATAGGACTGGATGATTATTTTCACCATGCTTTAGTCTAATAAATTTGTTCTATTTGTTCTAGGCCTTGTTAGCTTAGTGCTTGCAAAGGTACCAAAGCCATCTCAAAGCAAACTAAAAATGAGTCAAATTCTGATGCTCCCAAAGTCTTATCTATGTAACATGAACCAACTATTGGATACCACTAAGGTGGATAAATGGGCCACATGTGAGAAAGGACAGGAGAACCATAGATAACGTGGATGCTGGGCAACTATATACTACCTAAATGACAACAGTAGATCCTTTTAAAATAATTTCCATTTATACTACCTAGAGAATCACACTCAGCACCCATTTACAAACTGCAGTTGATAATAATAACCTAATTCAATGAGGGATTTCACTGACAGATGAGAAAACAGATACTAATAGGATCAGTTATACTCAATAACTTTTTCTTCAAAAAAATTTCTTTTAAGTAGAAAAGCATAAGCTGAGGTCATCATCTCTAGTGTCAACTCTACAAAACAGATAGCTAGTCAAAGCCCAGGAACTACATCCTTATTTCCCACTCTGCAAAGGGAATAAAAAATAAAGCATAGTTGTTTTCTCCCCTCCTTTGCCTGCTCGGTCAAATTATAAGAACCAGTCACTAAACTGAAGTGTCCAATTTACAAACTAGTTATCTCCCAGTCTTCTCTATGACATGCTGATTGCATTCTATCCACCTACTCCCACTGAAACTCAAGTTCAGATCCCTGGACACTGGTTGTTTGACTAGTGAGCCTTATACTGCTGAGAACCATGCCCCCCAGGCAACTTTCCAGCCATCCCCATGTTCTGTTACCCTATAATACCTTCTCCTGAATATGTGCTGCCTTCTCCATTTAGAACACAAGCATCTTGAGGACTGTGAATGACTTAGCAGTAATTAGCACAAGGCCTGGCACACAGTAAATACTTAATATTTTTTTCATTTAGTTCTATGATAAAGGAGCTGATTAGATGGCTATGTCCTTTTCCTTCCTCTCCCATTAAAAAAAATGCAATATCCTCCACGTTGGGAAGAAAATAACCTCAGTCTCAGGATGAGGTCTGGCACAAGAGATTAAGCCAAGGCACATCTTTCTTTAAATTTTTTTTTAAATTATGAATTTAACAATCAACATGAACATTTCCGTATGTAAAGGACAGGAAAAAAGGATTACATACGCAACTATGACTCTCTTGTATAACTTTTAAAGTATGCATAAACTTTAACATGTTAGTTACAAAATATTTCTCCATGTCTTCTGAACTTCCTCTTGTTCTCACTTTTTTTTTTACATGTTTCACCGATGTTTTTCTTCCTTTTCTTCCTCAAATTACTTTGGAGCACATTTTTCACAATTAATTTTCTGCAAGGAAGAAGTCCTAATGGCATTAACAGAAATCAGTCCAGAAACTTACATGGTTCTTACAGGACAGATCAAGGCCAGTTCACTTCCTCTGCCAGAACAATTAATCAAGTTTCAATTGTAGCATCAGAAAAAGATCATTTAGGAGACTATGATGGGACCACAGAAACAGCCTGAAAAAGATTTTGAAAACTCAGAAAGGTCTGTAGTAGTATTTGGAAGTTAAATGTCTTCTATTTCACTGAAAAAATTAACATTATCCTCACGGATTTCCAGTGGCACTGTAACAATCTAATCTTCAGTTGAACTTCATGAAGGTGGGTGAAATGAAATAGATTATTAACTTATGCTGAAAAAAGCCTATGCTACTACAAACTGTCTCTCCCATTACTGATCCAGATGACAATTCTAGAGAAATGTAGCAACATTGAAAATACTGAGAAAGCAAGGTTGGCATTGTTCCATCTTTGAGACCAAAAGATTTCTTAAAACAGACCAGGTATGTCTTCACAATGCTAACCAACTGAGCAATTTTTAGGGGATTCTAGTTATCCTCCAGAAAAATACAATAGCCTACCCCCAAGGCCATAAGCACACAATCCACTGACCTCTTGGTAAGTTTTTCTTAGCGTTAAGAGTGCCAACTTCTGTTAGATAAGGCTTTTCTCTTCACACATTAGAGGTTTGCATAGGTGTTCATTAAATAGGCTTTGGAATAATGTGCTTACTTTTAAATAAGAGTCTGTAATGTCCTAGGAAATTTACAATACAGAAAAATGAAGCCACGTCAAAACCTCTGAATGATGCTCTATGTTTTAAAAATAGGAGTGGAAATGTATTTAGTTTGCCCTTATCTTCTATTTCACTTCCTCTTTAAATTATGCAAAGCAGCTAAGTACATCTATCTAAACTTAAAACTTCTCTGACTTACTTTTCCTGAAGAGCTATTTAAGTGTTTTGGTTTAACAGTTTAACAGTTCAGCCCATGCCAGTCTGTAAGAATAAATTAAAATGGCGGTCTTTCAAGAAGCATCTATTTAGCTCTTACTGTGTCCAATGCTCTGGTACATATTGGGGGAGATAAATAAGACATAGTCCCTGCCCTCAAACAGCTTACACTCTAAATGTCAACTGATTCAACAGAGCAGGTTAAGTTGAAAGCAGGACTTACCATAGAAAAGTAGCCAGAGTTGAAAATGTATCTTACTTCACCAATCTTTTTCTGTCAATGCTATGAGCTGCTATACTATATGAACTTTAGCTCATTTTTTTTCTAATCTTATATCTACCACAATAATAAATCCCTGAGTTTTCAAATGTCAGTTGATGCTGCAGCTTTAGAGTGTGACCAGAACCCAAGTGCCATGAATTTTATGACCTTAGAGATGCAGAGAGGGAGTACCAATCTAAAAATGTGACTTATAACAAAACATGTGTTCTGAGTTTAAAAAAAAAAAATCCATGTGACTATACTCCATTTGAAAGACAGGTGAATACTGACCTGCTTAGTTTTAATCATTACTGAAAAGGTAATAGAAACAATAACATAAAGCAGCCTAAACATATTTCAAGTTTTCTATACCAACCATTGCCACGATCATCCACAGATGTACTCCTATGAAAAGGAATAAGTACTTTGGGAATTCTTCTAGGGGGAAAAGAACAGCATTGTGCCAGGACCCTGGAAAAGGCTTGTTTGGTATTATGAGAATTTGACTTTGTGGAAGTTGTGCAGCTCTTTCATTGTAATTAGCTTCTTTCAAAGGAAGGCAAATCAGAAGAGCAGCTTTACTTTGCCCTGGAAACAGGAGTCTCTGTTCAACACTCTTCATACCTTTTACAATGCCACAGCTATTTGAAAAAACTCAATTATAAACATCAACTAAGAGGACGAGTGCTGGGTTTTTTTTTTTAAGGCATTATTTCTCTATATTTGAGATTGTTGAATTATAAAATGTATTTACTAGTACTAACACAAAAAATGGATATTGCTACAAATAGCCAGACTGCTAATTTTTAAAACACATGGCATCATTCAAAGGTTTTGTTAAGTGTGATTTCGTTCAGATCTCGTGTGGGAAGCATTCATATTCCTGATAGGATAAAACAAAGGCAACAGTACCTTCAAAAGGTCATTGTGATAAATGAACTAATATTCAAATTGCTTTGTGTACAATGTAAAAATAGTACAATATAAATCCAAAGTATTATTATACAAAGTATAAAAACACTGCATCCTTAATTAACTAATTGTATATTTACCTTTGTTCACCCACAAACAGAACATTTTCACCCTCAAATCCTAGGATTCAGGGATAAAAAAATCGGACAACAAATGGTAACTATAACAGTACTAGCTATAAGAAAGTTTACGAGTCATGAATAGTTGTATAAAAATTGATTTCAGTACTGTTAGTCCCTTCTACTTCTCACCCACATCTTTATCGAGCACCTGGCAAGGCCAGGGGGCAGCAATATAAAAATACCAAAGTTTTAAAAATAGCTCAAAAAAGACAGAAGTCACAACGCCATAAACACTAGCTGGGCAAGACGGAATCAAGTTGCTTCTGGCACCATCTTCAAGCAAAAAATAGCTGATGAAATCTAACTTCAAATTTCCAAAGTTCTCTTCTGTTGTAAGGCATCATTAAGCAGTTCCACACCAATATTTGGAGAACACGTCTCACAAACAACAATTAAGCTGTGGGATAAGATATTAAGGAGAGAGGAGTCATTCCAATGCAGCCAGTTGCTCAATGTCATGCCGTACTTCTTTTGCATGCTCTTCAAATTCAGTTCTTTTCCGGGAGGTCTCCTTTACCTAGAAACAAAGTAACAAGTTATTATAATGGTAAGGTTCAAATTTGGGGGGCAGCTAGGTGGATAGAGCACCGGCCCTGCAGTCAGGAGCACCTGAGTTCAAATCTGGCCTCAGACACATAACACTTACTAGCTGTGTGACCCTGGGCAAGTCACTTAACCCTATTGCCTAACTTAAAAAAAAAATACATATATAAAAAAAAAAGTTCAAATTCATCTCAGGGGGCAGCTAGGTGGTGCAGTGGATACAGTATCGGCCCTGGAGTCAGGAGACCCTGAGTTCAGATTTGGCCTCAGACACTTGCCACTTAGTAGCTGTGTGACCCTGGGCAAGTCACTTAACCTCACTGCCTAGCAAAACAAAAACAAAAACAAATTCATCTCAGTAGCTAAAAAGAAGTATTTTCTAGGACTATGAGGAAGATATTCAAATATACAAGACAATACTTGATAAGACGTAAGTCTCTTTCTTCATCAATAAACTTTATTTTTATGAAGAAACCCACAGCAGCTCCCATTGTAAGTATCATAAGCCAGCCTACTACGACATACTTTGGTATCATGTACTTATTACAAAGTAGAAATCTTCCCTAAAACACTGAGATGCTTTTTTGGTTTAGAGGGCATTCCATCTCCTCACCATCCATTGCCTTCTGCTCAGAGGCTTCTATCCCTAACACTACTCCCTCTTCTGAAACCTGGAAACTCAATGATCATTGTCTACCCACATTCTTGACCTCTGAAATATCTGACACTGCACCCACCATCACTAATTTATAATTATAATTTCTCCTCCTCTTTTCTAGCATACATTGCATCAATCTAAAACTTCTTTCACTCTCTTCAATGACTACTCTTCTGTCTTTCCTTTGCAAAGGAGTGCTCAGCCAAGGTGAAGAAAACCACAGACATATCCAACCCTATCCTCAAGAATTAATCCACTTTCACAAGTACTAGCATTCTTCCCAATTTCCCATTTCTGTAAATGGTACTAACATTTTCAAGTCACCCAGAACCGTCTTACATTCATCACCTTTCTTTAACTCTGCATCAAATTCATCATCAAGTCTTGTGGAACTATTCTTTATGACCTCCCTCTTCATCCAGGAATAAAAATATTCCCAGAAATTGGATGGGGGTGAGGACAGAGAGGAAGTAGGTCCCTTTTAGGAGAGGAAAATTGAAATATATGTACTACTTTTAAAAATGTTCTTTACATATTCATTTAATCCAGGGCAATAAAAATGTATTATGTATAACTTGATCTCCTCAAAAAGCTGAGATCTTTATCTATTAAACTGAAAAAATATTCAGCTATTCAGAATTTACTTGATTAATTTTTAAAAATTTTTTATTCATTTTAAACTTAAATACTAAACAACAGGGTGGAAAAAAGGACATTTCCACATTTCTATGCACACAGCAAAATATAAAGACAGGATCCAATATAAAACCATACATTTCTATTCCAGACTGTTCACCTTTTTTTTTTTTAAACTATGCAATAAATGCTACACATTGTTTTCAAAGCTACTCAGCTTTTCTGTGCTTCTTTCCAAGTCTTCTTTTGTTCTCTGCAGTGAAACTTTTTTTCTCCCTCCCTTCCCACCCAGCCCTAGAGAAGGCTACAATTAAACATGAACATATACACACACATACATATATAAAATATACATAAACACACACTTCTTTCTCTTTGTCACTTCTTTCTCTAAAGGTGGATAGCATCTTCCTTCATAGATCCAACTCTTTCCATGTTTTTCTAAAATCAACTCATTTCTTACAACACAGTAGTATTCATCACAATCATATAACACAACTTGTTCAGCCATTCCCCAACTGAAGGGCATCAATCATTTTAGCCAATCTGAAAGGCTTAAGATGGTATTTTAATTTTTATTTCTCTAATCAATAATATTTTGGAGCATTTTTTCATATTACTATACTTTTGATTTCTACATCGAAAAATCGCCTTTTCTTATACTTTGACCACTTATCAATTGGGGAATGACTTGTATTCTTAGAAATTTAACAAAGGTCTTTGTATATTTGAGAAATGAGACTTTGAGAGACTGTCTGAAAAATTCCCCCCAATTTTCTGCTTTCCTTCTAATCTTGGCTACATTGGTTTTATTTATGAGAACTTTTAAATTTAATATAATCAAAATTATCCATTTTACATCTCACAATGCTATCTCTTATTTAATCATAAATTGTTCTCCTATCCATGAGTCTGATAGGTAATGTGTTCCATGTTCTTCTAATTTTCTTGCGATATTTTCCTTCATATCTAGGTCAGGTATCCATTTTGACCTTATCTTGGTACATGGTTTAAGATATTGGTCTATGCCTAATTTCTGCCAGACTATTTTCCAGACTTCCCAACACTTTTTACCAAATAATGAATTCTTATCCCCAAAACTTAAATCTTTACATTTGTCAAACTTAAGGTTACTACAATCCTTTACCTACTGTGTATTTTATGTTTGTCTTCCTAATACTTAATCTACTGACCCCTCTAAAACTCCCTCCTCTCCCCCTACACTCCTAATTCTTAATCTACACACCCTTCTAAAAATCCCTTCCCTATCCTGTCCTCTCGTTTTTTTTTTTTAATAAGATGTTTCACATTCTCTTCTATTTTTTCATTCTTTTGATTTTGTTTTGTCATTAGCTTTTTTGTCATTATCTTCCCCTTGCCCAATTCTAGTTTTCAAGGAGTTTTTTTTCCTTAAGTTTTTGGATCTCTTTTTCCAATTTGGATCTCTTTTTTCCAATTCTAATTCCTCATAAGAAAAACAACTGATCTAGAGAACAGATCAAGGAGACAACACAAGAACTGTTGGAATACCTGAAAGTTACAACCAAAAAAAAAATTTTTTCTCTCTCTTTATATTCTGCTGTGTACATGGAAATGTGGAAATGTCCTTTTTTCCCCTCTGCTTCTGTATTTAAGTTCAAAATGAATTAAAAAAAAGTTGCAATGTATTTACATCAACCATATCTCTCTCCACTGCCTTCTGGAAGAGTCCCAATTATGACTCCTCACAAACTCTGGCAGTCTTTGAATCATAACAATATAGCAATACAAAGTTTATAATTTGAATACAATCCTCTACTCTGCTTGATTTTGAAGGACCTCCATTCTATCTGTCCAACCTTATTTTTTACAGCTCAACCTCAGGCCAATGTCTTCACTGTCCTTGGAACTCATATTTTCATTACTTCCTCTAAGCCACTGGACAGGGTAATTTTCAGAATGCAGTCCCCATAATATTCAACAATCTATAACACTGTATTTCCTTTAAGAGCTACATCAAGTGGTCTTTCCTCTTTAAATCATTGCCCCTATAATTCCACTTTCCATTTACTTTAGTATCAATTGTGAGATGGGGGAGGCACAGAACTACCCAGCATGGTATGCTGGCATTAAATCACAATAGCAAAAAAGGAAATGTGTGATGCCCAAATCTAGAGACATTTCCATCCCAAATGTGTAAACGTACTATTTGTGAGCCTTCCAAGCTCATATTGGACTAATCAGCCACAGTCAAACACACTTTGTGATGTCACTGGTCTTGAGTACGAAGGACAAACAACTAGGAGTGTGTGCATTGAAATTTGATACAGACAACACAAGATGATTGAATTCAAATCAGAGAATAATGGAATTTTAGAGCTAAAATTAACCTCTTAGAGATCATCAAGTACAACATCCTCATCCTACAGCAGATTTGCACATCTCGTAAACTTCTTCGGGCAGCAGATAGGTTAGACTAAAGACAGACTAACAATGGTTGGTTGCCACAAGTCACATGACAAACAGAAGCATGTGCAGTGGCAACCTTACATTTTTCCCAAAATCTTTTGGCGGACTGTATGTCGTGCAGGACTGTCCTGAAAAATTTCTCTGAGATTTTGTTTCCCCAATTTATTCACGGTCACAACTAGTTAGTGTTAAAGTCTGGATTAGAAGTCAGATCTTGACTCCTAATCCACTGTTCTTTTTTATTACAATGGTTCAAATATGTCTCACAATATGGAAATCACTTTTACTGTATCCTACATGCTCCAGGTTGCTTAAGAAGATGCTTTATAGCTGGTACTGCCACTCTATCAGGCACCTAGGTGTCTTATTCACTAGTTTTTTTAAATGTGTATCATTTGGTTTCCCCAAGAAAACGGAATCTCCTTAAGGACAGGGTTGGTTACCTCTATAGCTTCAAGGCACAGAGTAGGTGTTCAATAAATACTTACAGATGTGGATTTTTCAAAGTTGTTTTAAAAAAAAAAATACTGTAGGGGAAGCTAGGTAGGGCAGTGGATAGAGCTCTGGCCTTGGAGTCAGGAGGACCTGAGTTCAAATGTAACCTCAGACACTTGACACTTACTAGCTGTGTGACCGCAGGTAAGTCACTTAACCCCGACTGCCTCACCAAAAAGAAAAAAAAATAGTGTTGTAGAGTTGGACCCAGAGAAGCTAAATAGGGCTCACACTCAAGTCTGATTTTGAGTTATACATACAATCTTGTTTTTGGCTCTTTCTTTGTCCAGTTTCAGGAACTCATTGAGTGTTAAATCTTCAATCTTCTTCTTAATGCTGATGAAGGCACAACTAGATGAGTGCTTTTTATGTTCCAACCTAGCAAATGAATACAGAATAACATCATGAGAAAGAAATCTAAATATAAAATAAAAGTTATGTTTAGCATGTCAGATTCTAGAGTCTATTATTAATACCTTATTCTATATAACCTGTTTCCCAGGTTCATCAAAATCATCCCTCTGGCTGCCAATACAAATTTACATTAAAACGTAATAAACGGTAAGTCCTTACAATGTGCAAAGGTGGAGATACAAAGGAAAGGAAATAAAAATCTTTGCCTTGGGGTATTTACAATTTAATGGGGCTAGGAGATAAAATAAGATATACAAATAAGGAAACAGGATAGAATGCAGTAAAGGCAAAATAATAAACATTTAGACAAAATGTTACAAGAAATTTGAGAGAGAGATTATTTCCCATGGAAGAGTGAAGGAGATCAAAGATTGCTTCATAGAAATGGTACCTGCTTAAAAGGAGGTTTCAACAGGCAAAGATGTGAAAAGAGAACATTCTAGGAAGGGGGGATAGCCTGTACAAATAAACATTAAACAGAAGAGATCAAACTATGACTAAAGAACAAAGAAAAGTCTAGATACAGGTGGAATATAGAATAAAGTGTATGAAGGGAACTAGAGTAAAATAAGGTTGGAAACATAAACCAAAGCCAGATTGTTAATGTCTTTAAAAAACAGATTTGTGTCTATCTTATAGAGAAAGAACCACTGAAGGGTTTTGAGCATTGACAAAGTCAGGCCTATTTAGAAGATTACTTTTCCAATGATGGTAAGGGAAGAGAAGATAGAGATTGGAGGTAAGGATACCAGCAAGAAAGATATTACAATACTCCAGGAAAGAGGTAAAAAGGTCAACTAAGGTGTTGCAAGTAGGAATAGAGAGAAAGGAAGAAACATAAGGGACACCTCGGAGGTAAAAATTCAATAGATCTTGAACAGAGGTCCTTCAGAAAGAGGTCAAAAATACCTCCAAAGTTTTAAACCCAGGTCATTATGAGGACTAGCAAATTGGGAAGAGGGAAGGTTTTAGAGGGACGATAATTAGTTCAGTTTGAAACTTACAGAGCTGGAGATACTGATGGAACCTGAAAGCAGAGATATCTAGCAGACAAAAATACAGCACTGGGGAGGAGCTCAAGGAAGAGATTAATGCTAGAGATATGTAATTGGGAGTTATATGCATAAAGGTGGTAATTGAAATGGAAAAAAATGAATAATAAGAAAACCATTTGAGAATATGTAGAGAGAGGAGAGGGAGATATTCCCACTCCCCCCCCACCCCCAACACACACAGGGGCAAGAAAAATGAATAACCATCAAAAATAACTAAAAATGAGGAACCAGTTAAGAAGTAAGCCTGAGTTCAAATAGGAAGGGTGAAGGAAAGAAGGCAGAAGAAGAAAGGAGAAGAGGAGGAAGAGGAAGGAGTCTCTCCTGAGAAGTTCCATTCTTCTTTCCCCAACAGAATTATCTGTACAGAGATGATAATTGAATCCATGAGATTCCTGAGCAAATAGTACAGTGGGAGAAGGTCCAGGACAGAGTTTGGGGAGGAGAGAAGAGACCCATAATTAGCAGCTATGATCTGGATAAAGATCCAGCAAAGGAGACTAGGGAACAATCCCATGAATTTAAGTCAAAAATAGGTCAAATTGAAAGCAAAGAAATTTATTAGCAGGCTAACAAAGACTGCTTACAGATAGCAGCTTCACCTAGCTAAAGTACATGTTTGTTTTTTATTTATAACTTTTCAACCCCACTTGAAGTATATAGATAAACAGTGGCATTCAATGGCAACTTGAAAGAGATAAGTAAAGCATTTCACAAGAGGAAGGGTAGAGGAAGGAGGAATTAGTCAAAGGAGAAAAGTGGAATATTTGGAATACAATTGGAAGGATTTATCATTAGAATAACAAAACATTCCCTGTTCAAGGATAAAAAAGAAAAAGAAGTAACCAAATGCTTTATACAACTGGTTAACAAGTCCATTTAAGAAAAGAGGGTTGAGGTTATGAGAAAACTACAGGAATTAATTTTCTAAGGACAACAGTTGTTACAGCAGTGGATGAGACCCATCTTCTTTATTGGGTCCTTGCATGATTTTTAAAATTTTATTTCTCCTTCAATAGCAGTTAGGAATTTTCCACTATTAAGGCCATCAGGAGGTTGTTGGATTCCACAATGTTGTAAATAATTGCAGTTCCTAACCTCCCTCTTCCGAGAATTTCCAAATCAACTTATCTAGCCCATATCTCCCTCCTAATCTACAAAGTTCAATCCCCAGCTAGCTATTGGACATGGCAAACTGGATATCCCATAGACACCTTAAACTCAACTTTTATGTCATTATATTTCCCTCAAACTTTTCCTAACTTCCCTATTACGGTTGAAGGTATCACAATCCTCCCACTCATCCAGGTTTACAACCTAGGTGTTATCCATCCTCCATAGCCAGTTTGTTGCCAAGTCCTATTTTAATTTTTTTTGGGGGGGGCAGGCAATTGGGGTTAAGTGACTTGCCCAGGGTCACACAGCTAGTGAGTGTCTGAAGTCAAATTTGCACTCAGGTTCTCCTGACTACACGGCTGGTGCTCTATCTACTGCACCACCTAGCTGCCCCTCCATTTTACCTTTTTAACATTACTTGTATATACCCCCTTCTCTCTTCTGACACAGCCACTACTTTGGTGCAGCCCCACATCACCTCATACCTGGTCTACTGTAATAGCCTGTTGGTTGGTCTTCCTGCTTCAAGTGTCTTCCCTCTATAATCCATCCTTCACTCAGCTGTCAAACTGATCTTAAAGGGAAGGGGAACGGAAGGGAATAAGCATTTATATAGCACCTACTATGTGTCAGGTACGGTGCTAAGTGCTTTACAAATATTATCTCATTTGATCCTTACAACAATCCTGAGAGGGAGGGCCTGTCATCCCCATTTTACAGTTAAAAAAAACTGAAACAGAAAGAGGTTAAGTTATTTAAGGCTACACAGTTAGTAAGTTTCTAAGGCTAAATTTGAACTCAAGTGTTCCTGACCTTAGGCCCAGCTCTGTATCCACTGTACCACACAGCTACCTAAAAGAACTATTTTGCCTTTCTTTCTATCCCCCAAATTTATACCTGTGCACACAGTAGGCTCTTAATAAATGCTTGTTGATTTGACTTGACAATAGCCTTCTAAGTGGGCACCATAGCTCAAGTCTCTTCCTTCCACAATCCACCCTTCACACAGTTGATTAAGTGGTATTACTAAACACAAGTCTGATCCCATCGCTACCCCATTTAGTAAGTTCCAGGGGCTTTCTATCATCTGTAGAATCAAATAAAATCTCTTCTGTTTGGCATCTAAAGAGCTTCACAACCTGACTACAAACTATCTTTTAAGCTTTCTGTCACATTTCTCTCCTGCACCCACTCTACAATCCAGACTGGCCTTCCTATTCCTTACACACACAATATTCCATCTCTTAGCTTTTACACAAATTGTCCTAGAATGTAGGCTACCCTCACCTCCACCTTTTATAATCCCTAGTTTCCTTCAAAGCTCAACCTGAATACACCGTCCTACTTGAGACTTTTCTTGATCCTCCAGTTTCCAAAGTACCCCCTGCAAACAACTACATATTTTTAAAAAACATACTTGTACATAAACATGCTGTCTCCCCCATAGAATATAAATAAACTCTGTGAGGACAGGGATTGCTTCATTTTTGTTTTTGCAACTCTACCACCTACGCACTTTAAAATGCTTGTTGATTTTGCAGATGACAATCTTTCAGATACTTAAAGAATACCATCATCCTGTCCCTCTAAATCTTCTCCAGGCTTAATATCCTGTGTCTTTAATCATTTCATCACATTATGTTGTAAATCAATATGAATAGAATATGTGATTGAATATGAAATAAAACATATACACCATCATGCTTTTTTGTATTTCATGAGACTAAAATATTTAATTGGATAAGAAGAACCTAATGTGGACAGGATCAAATAAACTACTAAGATGCTACTTTCTCATGAATAAAAGTTTTACATTTCACAAATAAAGCTATAATGGTAGCTAATGGAGCCTGAAATTGCATTCATTGTCCTGCAAAATAAAAATCCTTTTTCAAAACAAGAGTTTGATTTAAGAGTAAGGAGTATAATTCTGATGCAGTGCAAGGCTCGGTCAGCCTGGCAAGGACTTACATAGGATCATCCTCTGGTTCCCAGCCCTCTAGTTCCTTGAAACAGAAGAAGCACTGAGCTAAATCAGGCTCGTTCTCACTTGGGCAGTGGATGAACCCAGCTTCAGCCATCTGTAAAACAAAGTAGGTCAGGATGGTTGAGAAACCAAAGTGAAGGAGTATCTCCTCTCCTTAAGAACACAGGGCTCCAAAAAGCCAGGAGATCAAGTAGGTAGAGTACCTTTTCTTTTTCATTTTGGGCACAGTGGTAAACTGGATCCCAAAGTGTCTCTATGTAGAGAGGTAAGGGGTTATGCCTTACCAACTCTAAAAAGGAAAAGAAAGGAAAGGAAAGAATTCTTGATTCTTGGAAATACTCCAAGATGATCAAGGATATATGTTGGAATTTGGGGGTATGACAAATGAGAAAAGACATAAGTTTCAAAACAGTACCCTTTGTGGGCCATGTATAAAAGTGTCCTATCGGAAGGCATCATCTGATGGAAGAGTATTGGACTAATAATCACAAGTCTCAGGTTCTTTTTACTCAGCGCTCTTTTAGCTCTGTAACCTCAGATAAGGCCCCATTCCATGTCTTAGTGTCCTTCTTTAATAATAACAATAATGAACATGATGATAGCTAGCATTTATATAGAGCCTACTATGTGCCAGGAGCTTTAGAAATATTATATCATAGATTTTTTTACAAAATTCATCTGGAAGAACAAAAAGTCGAGTTTCAAGGGAATCAGTGGAAAAAAAACCCAGAAAACTGGGACAGAAGGGGGTCTAGCAGTACCAGATTTAAAACTATACTACAAAGCTATAATCATCAAAACAATTTGGTACTGATTAAGAAATAGGTTGATGTGAGGAACAGATTAGGTACATAACATACAGAAGCAAATTAACAGTCACCAAGTGTTTAACAAACTCAAAGATAATGGGGCAAGAACTCACTATTTGATAAACAACATCTTGAATTGATTAACAAGGTTAAGTTCAAAAAAATAAGAACAGGGAAGAAATTACCCTTCACATCTCTAGCTAAGAGAAGAGTTCATGACCAATCAAGAGACAGAGAAGTTCACAGGAGGGAAGACGGTTCATTTTGACTGCATAAAATTAAAAAGTTTTTGCATAAATGAAACAGCTAAAGTTAGACGAAAAGCAGGAAACTGGGGCAGCATTGGGGGGAGGGGAATGCAGAAAGTTTCTTTGGTAAAGGTCTCATTTCTAAAATATAGGGAATTTAGTCAAATTTCTAAGAGTAAGATTCATTCCTCAATTGATAAATCATCAAAGGATATGAATAAGTGGTTTACAGAGGAAGAAACCAAAGCTAACAATAACCATATGAAAAAATGTTCTAAATAACTGATTGGAGAAATACATGTAAAATCAACTCTGAGGTAACCCCTTACACAAATCAGATTGGCTAAGATGACAAAAATGGAAAATAACAAGTGTACTAGTGGTTATGTGAGGAACATAATGTGTAGTTGGGGGAGCTGTGAAGTCCAACTGTTTAAGGTAAAGTAATTCAGAACTATGCCCAAAAGGCATGTGCAGACCCTCAATGTGTGGGAGAAATGGAGCCTCAAGAGTCTTGACGAAAGGACCAGGACGGGGCTGTGAGGCTTTGGAAAAAAAAAAATGAGAAGGGGAGACGAGAGAGGGAGGGTCGGGGGTCAATGGCAAGAGGTAGGGGCGGGGCGGGAGGGACAAGGAGGGGATGGTGGACGGAGGATGGGAAGAGAAGAAAGGGGGGAGGACGAGATGGTCAGGGGAAGACTGGGAGAGGTCAAGGGTGAGAAAGAGGAGAGGGGGACAGTGACAAGACGGTGGGGGAGGGGAGGAGGAAAGGGCGAGGGAGGGGGCAGCCTGAATTAACCGGCTAGGCGGGGAGCAGTTTCCCGCGTATGCGGCTCATCAGTCTCACCCGCTCCGGGGTGCAGGCGCAGTCCTCCGTGAAAGGCCAGTTCTGGAAGGTAGAGATGCGGGTATCGAGCTGGTAGAGCTGCCACATCGGGGGTAGCGGCGAGGCACTCATTTTGCAGCCGGGAACGCAGACCGTTTCAAACTCTGCCACCGCACGGCATGCCGGGAGCACCTGGGCTTTCTTCAGTCCGTGGCCTCCTGGGAACTGGAGATGGGATGTCGCAGGGCATGCTGGGGATTGTAGTCAAACACACAGGCACAGACAGACGCGCGCGCGCACACACACGCACACACTCCTCCACCGCTGCTCCTCGCATTCCCATTTTTCGAAATGGCGTAGCTCCGAGATACTATAAAGCACTGTTTCTGGCACATAGTAAGCCATATATAATTGTTAGATTTTTTTAATCTTAGATATTTTTAAAAATACATTTTTATTTTTTCCAATTACATTTTTAAACATTTAATTCATTTTAAATGTATTTAATGCCGCTAAATATTTCCCAATTACATTAAATTTTTAACATTCACTTTTTAAAATATGAATTCCAAATTCTCTCCCTCCCTCACCCCTTAAGAAGGCAAGCAATAGGATGTCGATTATATATGTGAAGTCATGTAAGCCGTGTTGGGAAACACACACACATACACACATGCACAAGAAAAATAAAGAAAATGAAAAAAATTATACTTTAATTTGCACTGAGAGTTCATCAGTTCTCCTGGAGATGGAGAGAACTTTTCAAAATGGGTACTTTAGCATTGTCTTGGATCGTTTTCTTCATTAGAATAGTTAAGTCTTTCACAGTTGATCATCATTACGATATTGCTGTTACTCACTTCACTTTCAATCAGTTCATATAAATCTTCCTAGGTTTTTCTGAAGGCATTTTTTTATAGCACAACAGTATTCCATCACAATCATATACTACAACTTATTTAGCCATTTCCCAATTGATAGGCATCTCCTCAATTTTCAATTTTTTGCCACCACAAAAAGAACTGCTTTAAATATTTTTGTACAAATAGGTCCTTTTCCCTTTTCTTTGAGCTCTCTGGGATACAGACCTAGTAGTGATATTGTCTAGCTATTATTCTGTGGAAGCGCTATTTGTGAGGTCTGTTGTCCTTTAAAAAATTTTTTTAATTCTGAGATTAAACACCCCCCCCCCCAAAAAAACCCCTACATTTCCCCCTTCCCAAAAAAAAACAAAAAATTAAATGAAACAGTGAATCTCTAGTTAATACTGCTTGTTTTTTTAAAGATATATAATACATTTACTATATTACTTCCAAAACTTTCTTGTCTGTACTTCCTTCTGAATTCCCTTCTGTTCTCTAATGTGTGTTTAAAAAAATGTTTCAATGTGCCTTGTTTTGGCATCACTATCGCCCCTCAACCTTCCAATTAAAGAAGCAAGAGGGGAAAAAAATCCCTTGTAACAAATAAACATGGTCAAACAAAATAAATCCTCATGATGTACATATCTAATAACACTTGTCTCTTTCTGCACCTTGAATCCATCTGTCAGGAGGTAGAATAACATGCTTCTATCCTCTGTAGACATGGTTGGTTATTGCATTGATCAGAATTCTTGTCTTTCAAAGTTGTTTTTCTTTACAATGTCATTGTCCTTGTATAAATTGCCCTGGTTCTGCTCTTTTCATTCTACAACAATTCAAACTACCCAAGATTCTCTGAAATTATAATTTGTCTCTTTCTTAATTCATACACCTCAATTTGTACAGCTGCTCACCAATTTATGGATGTCCCCTTGGATTCTGATTCTTTTCTTTTTCAATCCTCCCTTCAGCTTGTTTTGCTGAAGCAATAATGCTTCCCTCTTAACTATCCTCTTTCTATCCCAATTTGTCTTCTATTGAATTCGATACATTAAACTCTTTTTATGTGAGTAAATGGGTATATAGTATGTGTTCCACCCTCCTTTGTCCATTTTAGTTGAATAAGATTCACCAGATCGAATTTTACACTGCTTCCTCCATGTTTATAGTACTCTTCTAATTATAAGAAATATCAAGTTCCATTCCCTTCTTGCTTCTTTTTGCACTTGTGTACTTCTTTCGGTCCCTTCTTTTCTCAGCTTCAGACAAAACCAATCTATCCCCCAGGTCTTATGTTTTTCTCATTTAACTCCCTCATTTTCTCATTTAACCCTTTGAAGATACAAAGACTCTGAAGGGACTCTTGTCTCTCCTCCCCCTTATTAGAACATCTCTGCATTAAGAAATGCTTCTAATCACTCAGATTTGGCTTTAGATTTGCATTTCAAAGTTCCTACTCAGTTAAGTGCTCGAAAGTTCTCCATTCCATTAAAGGTATATATATTTTTCTCTCCAATTTACTCTTGGTCGTAAGGCTATATATCCTTTGCCTTTTAGAATAGTATATTCTAAGATCTTCCCTAGAAGCTGCCAGATCTTAGGTGATCCTGACAGTGGTTCCTTGGTGCTTGAACTGCTTCTTTCTGGATAGTTATAATAATTTTTCATTGATATGGGAGCTCTGGATTTGGGTTATGATATTCCTGGGAATTTTCCTTCTGAGGTTTCTTGCAAGAAGTGATCAGTAGATTCTATCTTCACTTTGCCATCTGGTTCTAAGAGATCTAAGTAGTTAGTTATTTATCATTTCTTGAAATATAGTCTTTCTTTCTTTCTTGACTAGGTTTCCCTATCTCACCCAGGCTGGAAGTGTGTATGTGTGTGGGGGTGGGGTGACTAAAATTATTTTTATACCTAGTATAAGGTCCCTTCTAGCTCTGAAACTATGCTATGTTTGTATTATTTTCTTCTAAATACTCTTATGATCCAGCCAAATTGGACTAATCCCCAAAGGTGCCTTGGGTACATTATGCCTGGAATGTCCTCCCAAGCCCACTTTGCCTCCTGAATTCCTACTCAGCCTTTCAAGCCTAAAATAAATATCATGTCCTGAAAGGAGCTTCCCTGATCATCCCCTTTCTCACTCATCTTTACCCTTCAAATGATACATAGCACTTTGCTTTTCTGCACTTTGCAGAAATGATCACATGGTATTTTGTATTGTATTTTATTTTGTGTCTTATTTTTACTGGATTTTAAGCTCATGGGAACTGGGTCAACATTTTATCTAAGCCTTGTATTTCTCCAGCACCTAATTTAGGGCTCTACCTCAGCACAGGACTGGTAATTGTTTGTTGAATGAATGAACATATGATATCAAGTTAAAAGGTTTTATTAGTGGTCTTGCCAGCAAACACAGAGAAATATTCTCTCCATGAGGGAAGGTAAAAAACCAAAGCTCTTTGTGCAGGTTTTGTGAATGGTCTAAGACCCTAACCTTCCCAGAATGGAAAAAGAAAGAGAGCAGCTTTCTGGTTTCTCACAGAAGCTTTGGAGAAGTGCTCTTTGCTCTTTTCCAAGCTATAGTAGACATGGTGAGGCTCTGGGTTCTCTCATTACTGGAAAATTGTCTTCAAAATAACCTGCAACAGGAAGAAAAAGTAGTGACCTTAGAGCTGAAGAGGCTGATGTAAACTGAACAAGGAGGATTTGAAGTGGGAAATGGAGAGGGAAAGTCTCTTGAACAGGGTGATGGAGTGGGGTGGGAAGGAGATTTAGAATAGATTTGGTGGGGTTGAGACCAAAGGACAAAATTTATTAAGCACCTACTACATGCCTGATACCATTCTAGGTGCTGAGGATACCAAGACAAAATAACAACAATAACAACAATGCTATCCTACCTGAGTCAGTATATATTCATTCTGAATCAGTTTCTCAATGATGTCAAAATGATCCACATTGGAGATTTCTATAAATGAAACTCTCCACCCATGTAAACGCAGAGCCTGTAGAGAGGAAAAAAAAGCTAATGGGATAGATTTTTAAAGAATTAGGAATGTTGCAAGAGGCTGGCAAAGAGGGAGGAAAAGGAAAGGTCATAAGAAAATGACTGGGAACGAAATTATAACTATCAAAAATAAAAAGAGTGAATTCACTACCATTGAAGATGAAATTAAAGCAATTATTAGGAGCTATTTTGCCCAATTATATGCCAACAAATCTGACAATCTAAGTGAAATGGATAAATATTTACAAAAATACAAATTACCAAGATTAAAATAACATGAAATAGAGTACTTAAATAACCCTATCTTAGAAAAAGAAATTCAACAAGTCATAAATGATTTCCCTAAAAAAAAATCCTTAGGACTAGATGTATTCACAAATAAATTTTATCCAACATTTAAAGAACAATTAATTCCAATTCAATATAAACTATTTGGGAAAATAGGCAAAGAAGGAGTCCTACCAAATTCCTTTTATAACACAAATATGGTGCTGATACCTAAACCAGGAAGAGCAAAAACAGAGAAAGAAGACTTTAGACTGATTTCTCTATGAATATAGATGCAAAAAATTTAAATAAAATACTAGCAAGGAGATTACAGCACCATATTACAAAGATCTGACACTATGACCAGATGGGATTTATACCAGGAATGCAAAGCTGGCTCAAAATTAGGAAAACTATCAGCATAATTGACCATATCAATAACAAAACCAACAGAAATACAATTATCTCAATAGATGCAGAAAAATCTTTTGACAAAATACGACACTCATTCTGTACTAAAAATACTAGAAAGCATAGATCTCTCCTTCAAAAGATAAGTATTATCTATCTAAAACCATCAGCAAGCATTATCCGTAATGGTGATAAGCTATAAGTCTTACCAATAAGATCAGGGGTGAATCAAAGATGTCCATTAACACTATTACCACTCAATATTGTACTAGAAATGCTAGCTATAGTAATGACGAGAAAAAGAAATTGAAGGAATTAGAATAGCCAATGAGGAAACAAAACTATCACTCTTTGCAGGTGATATGATGGTATACTTAGAGAATCCTAGAGAATCAACTAAAAATTACTTGAAACAATTAAAAACTTTAGCAAACTTGAAGGATATAAAATAAACCTATGCAAATCATCAGCATTTCTACATATTACCAACAAAGTCCAAAGATAGAAAGAGATAGAAAAGAAAGGAATAGAGAAAGAAAGAGATAGAAAAAGAAATTCCATTTAAAATAACTGCAGATAAAATAAAATACTTGAGAGTCTACCTGTCAAGGCAAACCTAGGAACTATATGAACACAATTAAATTT